TCTGCTTATGTGGTGCTGAGGAATCGAACCCAGGGCCTCATGCATGCAAGGCAAGTGCTCTACCACTGAGCCACCTTCTCAGCCCCATTTTTCAGAAATTTTAACTGCTTATTTATCAACTTATTAACATCTTTCTCCAAGGCCCTTGGAATGTTTGAATACCAGTTTAATGAAGAGAGTATCTTTTCTTTTTGGTGGTATCAGAATTTTAATTCAGGGTTGTGTGCATGCTCAGCTTGGTTGCTCAGCTGGTGCTCTACTACTTGAGTCATATCTTCAGCACTGCTCTTTGTTGGCTAATTGGAGATAGAGTCTAGCAAACTTTTCTGCCCAAGCTGGTCTTGAACTGCAATCCTCCATGTTGTAGCCTTCTGAATAGCTAGGATTACAAGTATGCACCAAGTATGCTGAGATCAGACTCTGTTACTTAGGAGACTCTTAGACTTTTTTTTTCTTTTCTCTTCCCTTTCCCTTCCTTTCTATTTCTTCTGAGTGTATATATATTGAATTCCAATTTCACATTGGTTGGCAAGTTCTGTCAAATCAAAAGCCAGCAATCTAGCTGTGCAGAAATCAGAAATGGAAGATTAGTAGAAGGCCAAGGCAAGCCTTGCAGAAGAGTTGGTGAAATATTATTTTACAAAACAAGCTGATTTCACTAACACATGAGTATGGAATCCCAGGTATGGGGCAGGAAGAGGGAAAGATAAGAAGGTCTTGGTTTATGGCCAGCCCTAGGTAAGGTGTGAGACCCTATCTGAAGAATAAGCTAAACAAAAAGGGCAGGGATATGACTCAAGGGGTAGAAAACCTGACTAGCAAGTGCCTAGTCCTAAGTTCAAATCACAGGACCACCACTCAAAAAAAAGGAAAAAAAATCCAGTAATTAGTTTTTGATTTAACTTATGTGTATATATTTATCAGTACCAGGGCTTGAACTCAGGGAGAGCTTTTATACCCAAGTTCTAGCACTCACTTGAGCCACATCTCTACTTCTGGCTTTTTTTTTTTCTGGTTAATTGAAGGTAAGAATCTTACAGATTTTCCTACCTGGGCTGGCTTTGAACCATGATCTTCAAATTCCAGCCTTCTGAGTAGCTAGGATTACAGGTATGAGCCACTGGAACCGCACTGATTTTGGATTTTTGTTGTTGTTCTTAACTCATACACACACTTAAATACATTAAAATTTTTCTTCTTTCTCTACCATCTGTAGTTGTTATTAGCAGGAAAAAAGGTCAAGGTAAACATTGTCATTTTTTGTCTGAAACACAAGTTCTGATCTGAATTTTATTATTTTAGGGCTTTGGGGCTTGGTCAACAACGCAGGTGTTTACCAACCAATGGCCTACCTTGAATGGCAGAAGTTTGATGACTGTATGAACATCCTCAACGTGAACCTTCTTGGTTTGGTACAGGTGACCTTGAGCATGCTTCCCTTGGTAAGGAGAGCAAAGGGGAGAATTGTCAATGTCTCTAGCATGTTGGGAAGAATTGCTACACCTGGAGGATTCTACTCTATGTCCAAGTTTGGAGTTGAAGGGTTTTCAGATACACTAAGGTAAGGAAAATATAAACAACTATTATTATTATTTATTTGTTTATTTTGTCAGTCGTGGGGCTTGAACTCTGGGTCTGGGCACTGTGTCTGAGCTCTTCAGCTCAAGGCAAGAACTCTACTATTTGAGCCACAGCACCACTTCCAGTTTTCTGGTGGTTAATTGGATATCAGAGTCTCATGGACTTTCTTTCCTGAGCTGGCTTTGAAGTTCGATCCACAGATCTCAGCCTCCTGAGTACCTAGGCATGAATCACTGGCGCCCAGCTTTATTATTATTATTTTGATGACATTACTGGGGCTTGAACTCAGGGCCTAGGCACTGTCCCTTAGCTTTTCTCTCAAAGCTGGTGCTCTACCACTTGAGCCACACCTCCACTTTGGGGTTTTGGGTATTTATTGGAGGTAAGGGTCTCACAGTCTTTGCTGCCTGGGCTGACTTCAAACCTCAATTCTCAGATCTATCTCCTGAATAGCTGGGATTCTGGTATGAGCCACCAGTACCCCGCTCATTCCTCTCCTTTCTTCACATGAAGATTTGGCCTTTATCCTTCCAGGCTCAGCTGAATGTCTTCTTCCCACTGAAGCTTGACTGTCTTGAAGATCTATTTGCATTTCCTATCAACTTCCATAACTCCTTCAGTCCTCCTCTTCCTCTTCCCCTCTTCCCTTCTGCTTCTTTCTACTTGTGCTGGAGTCAAACCCAGCTACACCTGGTTCTGTAATTATTTTGAGTTATATTGTGCATACCTATTGAGTTTTTCCTGTTGTGAGTTTTTGAGGTGAGGGACTGATTGGAGATTGTGTATATGCTTGTTATAATAAATGTTGACTTATTATTATTATTAGTCTTCTTTATACCTCCAGTATCTACAACTCTGGATACTTAACTCTTCATTTAAAGAGTAGGAGTATGGGCTGGGTAGGTGGCTCAGTGGTAGAGTGCTTGCCTTGCATGCATGAGGCCCTGGGTTTGATTCCTCAGTACCACATAAGCAGAAAAAAGCTGGAAGTGGCGCTGTGGCTGAAGTGGTAGGGTGCTAGCCTTGAGCTGAAGAGCTGAGGGACAGCATGCAGGCCCAGAGCAGGCTCCACAACTGACCAAAAAAAAAAGAGTAGGTGTATGCTGGGCACTGGTGGCTCATACCTATAATCCTAGCTGCTTAGGAGGCTGAGATCTGAGGATCCTGGTTTGAAGCTACCCCAGTCAGAAAAGCCTGAGAGTTAACTCCAGCTAACCAGCAAAAAGCTGGAAGTGGAGGTGTGGTTAAAGTGTTAGAATGTCATCCTTGACTGAAAAAACTCTAGTGAAAGTGTGAGGCCCTAGTTTAAGCTTAGCTCCTGTGTTGCGGCGCGCGCGTGGGCACACACACACACACACACACACACACACACACACACACACCCGAATCACAAATGATTATGGTGGCTTAGTGGTTGGTATAATATTTCAATTGCTAGCTCTAAGAATGTTTAACTTTTTTCTTTCTATTTTTTCTTCAAAATTTTCAGTAAATGTGTCTTTATAAAGATATTTTTATTATGTTTTGTGTTTTCTTCCCTAAGAACAGTGAAATAGTGATACTTTTTACTTCAAAGGAATTAACTTGTGGAGTTTCATTTCAGGCGCGAAGTTAAAGGTTTTGGAGTAAAAGTCAGCATAATTACACCTGGTAGCTTCAAAACAGAAATGACCAATCTGCAGTTGTCACTGGACAGACTGGAGCAAACCTGGAAAGAAATCCCTATGCATATTAAGGAATCCTATGGAAAGCAATTTTTTGACTGCCGTAAGCTTTCTTTCTTCTTTCTTTCTTTATTCCTTCCTGCCTTTCTTTCTCTCTCTCTCTCTCTCTCCCTCCCTCCCTCCTCCCTCTCTCTCTCTCTTTCTTTCTTTTTTTTTTTTTTGGTTAGTTGTGGGGCTTGAACTCTGGGGCTGAGTGCTGTCTCTGAGCTCTTCAGCTCAAGATTAGAGCTCTACCACTTGAGCCACAGAATCACTTCTGTTTTTTTGTGGTTAATTTGCGAGAAGAGTTTCAGGGACTTTCCTGACCAGGCTGGCTTTGAACTGTGGTCCTCAAATCTCAGCCTCTTGAGTAGCTAGGATTATAGGCGTGAGCCACCAGTGCCTGGTTTAGCTGTTTTCTTTTGATAGAGTTAATGGACAGTGTTGTATAAGAAAGGAAAAGATAAGAACTGGAGACTTTGGGCTTGGCATGTGGTTTAGTGGTAGAGTGCTTGCCTAGCATGCATGAAGCCCTGGGTTCGATTCCTCAGTACCACATAAACAGAAAAAGCTGGAAATGGCACTATGGCTCAAGTGGTAAGACTAGCCAAAAAAAAGAAAAAAAAGACTGGAGACTTGGCACACATTGTAGAGTACTTGGCTCTCAAGTGTGAGGCCCTGACTTCAAATCCAAGTATCATTAAAAAAAAAAAAAGTGTATTCCGGGGATTGGTGGCTCATGCCTGTAATCCTAGCTACTCAGGAGGCTGAGACTTGAGGATCATGGTTCAAAGCCAGCCCGAGCAAGAAACTCCCTGAGACTCTTATTTCCAATAAACAACCAGAAAACTGGAAGTTGCACTGTGGGTCAAGTGGTAGAATTCTAGCCTTGAGCTGAAGAGTGCAGGGACAATGCCCAGGCCCAGAGTTCAAGCCCTATGGCCAACAAAAAAAAAAGAAAAGAAAAAAAATTGTGTGTGTATGTGTATGAAAGAGAAATTGATGGAAATTCACTGCTAGATCCTTGAGAACAATGTTCCTTTACCAAAGTCTGCCTAAACAGGAGAGGCTTAAAAGGAGAGGTGTCATTGCTGAGTGCCTCTGGCTCTCAGGAGGCTGAGATCTGAGGATTTTGGTTCAAAGTCCAGCTTTGGCAGAGAAGTCCATGAGATTCTCATCTCCAGTGGATCACCAAAAAGCTGAAAATGGAGCAGTGGCTCAAGCTGTAGAGTACTAACCTTGAGCACAAAAGCTCAGGGAGAGCTACAGGCCCTGAGTTTCAAGCCCCAGGACACATACACACACAC